TGTTAAAGATGCTCTGGGAGGTGCTCTATATTAAAGGCCACCAAAAATTGTTCTAAAGTGACTAGAACGAGCAGGGTGCCTTGCTTGAGTTGCCACCAGCGGTCTGCCTCTCCCACCAGCATATAGGTAACAAGTATAACTCTCTATTCGGGAATCACCCCAAGAGTCATGAAGACCTTCTCTATCTTAGCTAACTAGTACTCGACCTCTTTAAATGAGAATTTTCCTACAAAAGTAGATGGATTTAGTCTTTTATACATCTCAATGTAGTATGGGTCCATCATGGGAGGAATTGGGTCCCGTGGGAGAGGGACTAGATTGTGTTGGGGATGGATAAGATGGCCCTGTGGTAGTACTAGATTATACAGTGGAGGCATCGGATTGTACTGTGGTGGTGCCAGATGATATGGTTGGGGCATCGGGCTATACTGTGGTGGTGCCGGTGTTACTGTAGTTGGGGCACCGGATCATACTATGGTGGTCCTAGATGGTACTATGGAGGAGCATGATCGTGCCGGGGTGGCTCAAGATCCTTTCACTGTAGGGATCGCTCGACCTATAGCAGCGGGGGAGGGTCAGGTAGCTCTCGCCTTTCTTTCTGGGCCTGTTGGACAACAATGAGTCTCTCTAACATTTTAAATAGTTGGTCCACATCCTCTCGAAGTGAACTCTCCCGGGCTATTCGGTGTAGTAGGGGTCTGCCTCTTCTCATCTATCTGTACCTGCATTTCACAAGGAATGGTTAAGTGATAATCCATTATTTTTTGTGGTTTGTAAGGATTTTGTGTAAGGAATGGTTCCAAGAAACACGGCTTTGATACCAATTGTAACGACTCAGAACTAGAAAGGGAATAAATTATAAATTGAATGCGGGAGTGAAATAATAGCGTTAGGGTTTACATTCTTTACACAATAATTCAGAATATCCAATAGGGCTATGAGAATGACCATTCTAAAAGAACAACGAAAAATCAAAGAAATAATTTGAAAGTAAACAACTAAACATCCTATTCGCAACCCTCTTTTGGATCAGGATCCGGATCTTGGTTCTTTTGATCTGAACCGGTTAATGAAAGAGTGAGGTACACTAGCCCAGTATGAATGTCACACTTCTCACCAATACAAAAATGAAGGCTGGTAGAAATCATAAAAATAACTAATAGAGCTCTTAATTTAAGTAAATTCATTTATCATAAATAAAATCATTTACCGCATACTTACAATAGTGAGATTTTCAAAACTGACTTATTGGGGCAATAATATAACAAATATCATAATCTCATAATCAAACATTTAGAACAACAAATTTCTCTTTTATTTGCCTACTGGTATCCATGGGGGTTCATAGAGATATCTCCACTACGCGTGAATCTTTATTCAACATTTTTCACTAACCGACCGTCCCCATACCTTGTCCGGTATGAACACCAAAAAATACCGTCCCTCAATATCCTGTCCGGTATGAGCACCAAAATACCAATCCTTGATACCTCTTCCGGTATGAGCGCCAAAATACCAATCCTTGATACCTCGTCTGGTATGAGGCAACATTCACAGTAGGGTTTCCTATGTACCTGATCTGTCCACCATCTCTCAGGATATCCAGTAAGGCTACCATTCATCCATTCACTTAATCAAGTAATTTTTCGTTTACATTTAATTTCTAAATTCACAATTTAACTGTAAATCACGCAAAACAAGCAATAAATGCATCAAGAAAATATAACCCAATCATCTTACCAATTCCAGTGTATTATCATGCATTCGAAACTTTAGAATCAAACAATCAGTTAAAACATAACAAAGAGTAATAAATAACTGGTTCTGCCTCCATTAGTAACTTATAATTAATTATATATATTTTCTAAATTATGTAAAATACCATATTGTTTATAATTAAACTTCAATTCCATAACAGGGAATAAGGTGAGGGATTCTTAAACGAATCGATGTCTGAAACGCTAAGCTTTCAGCTACGCCTATTGGCGGTCCCCGGGTTCCCTGCATTTTCCTTCGGAGATTAAAACACGCTCCAAGAACCTAGAAATACTCAATAAACCCAAAATCGGTGTTAGAAATCTTTTCCGGTCAATTTTAAAATTCTGGCATGGCGGCGGCGCCATGCTCCGACGGTGGTTTGCCTCAGGTTGGCCGTTTTCAGCTAATTTTGGCTGATTTTGGCCAGTTTTATACTCATTCCTGCGTGAATACACGTTAAGGGGTCTCGGTTGGCCGAAAAAAGTCAAAAAATAAAAACTCATTGACGGTGAAATTTTTCAGTGTGGCAACTCCGCCGACTCATCTTCGCGATTTGGTGTTTTTCTTCAGTTAACCTGTAGAAAACAGAACGGTTAATACAATGGTAGAAAAATTGCACGAAACGGGAATCAGAAAGGGTCTCATTGGAGGCAGTTTTTTATTTTTTTCGTGGCGGCGGCGCCGGGCTTTACACGCGATTTTCGGCCCATCCGCTAGTTCTTTGGCTCTGATTTGGCCATAGGGGTGTTGAAAATCAAATTTCAAGCGATTGAGAGAATTTTTACTTTTTTCTGGCGGTCGAAGGTGGTTCCAGAGCGGCGGCGAGCGACGGTCGGCTCCCTTCCCAACTACTGGTTCTTCTTCTCCAGCCGAGGAGACTGGTGGCTAGGGTTAGGGTGTGGTGTGAAGTAAGTTATTTAAATCCGTTTCTTTTTAATCTGAACCGTCCATCACGTTTGATCTGGACCATCCGATCACGTTTAAATAGAAAATGAATCTACAATGTTCATCACGATTTGATCTGAACCATACGATCGCGTTTAAAAAAGGAACGAATCTAGACCGTTCATCGCATTTAATTGCGACCGTCCGATCGCGCCTGAGGAGGTAACAGGTCCGGACCGTCGGATCGCGGGTACGCAGATTGCCAGCAAGACCTCCCGCGTGGCATCCGTCAGCGTGCCTTGCCAGGCTGCGCACTTCTGTTCGTCGGGACTGCTAATTGGGCAGTCATACGTAACACATTTTTCTTAAATTACGTTTTGATCTCCAGAACCCAAATGTTCACAGATTTTTCTCAAAATTATTGAACACTAAAAAAGAAAAAAACTTAAAAATAAGCTTGTATATTGAACACTTTTATATATTTTTTTTATTGAAACCTCATCCGGACAAATACTTAAAAATCATAAAAATATTAAATATTTACACTAAAAAAAATGATATTCTTTAATATAAATTAATATCATACTTAATCTAAATAGCGTATATTGCAAAATTATAAAGTCATGGTACCATGACATGCTACTATGTCACCATGCGCGATGGTAAAACTATTTTCTATTATATCAGTATATTGACATAATTGATGTTTCCTCAATTGTTACAATTACAAAGATTAATATATCATGATGCTTATCAATTTAGAACTAAATAAGATCAAATCGATCAGAGTAAAGACTAAACAAGAAAAGAGATCGAAACTAAAGGTCGGAGTGAAGAGATATGTTATAGATGTTTTTATTGACTTTATTATAATGGTTGATTGGTTGGGGGCCATCTTATCTTCTTTCTTCATCGTTCATATGTTATTCTTTTAATCATCATTATGTGGGTTAGAGAGGATAAGCAAGAGACGCATGAAAGAGAGGTGAAGAAAATATTTAACAAAAGAAATCCACACACTTGTATATAGTATGATATACATACACTATCTTTTTGTTTCATTACATGTTTTTCTTTTTCTTTTTCTCTTTAAGCTTAGTGCTAAATAATTTTTTACATGATGCAAAGATTACTCAGAGAAATTCGTTAGTTTTTTTCGGGTTTTCCAGAATTAAAAACCGAAACTCATTATTCTCTTGAAGGAGATAGTTATAATTAAATTATGTCAAAAGCTGAAATTAATTTTCTTAAACAGTTGATCACAACCTAAATCTAAATTAATTATGTCGGATTAAAGTCCAAATTTTAAATATGGTTGATATAGGAAGAGGCCTTCAAACCAAAATGGGTTTAAGAAAGAATTTTAAGAAGCTTAAATTAAAGTCCAAATTAAATTCCAAACCAAAGCATTAAATGTTTAAATGTCCAACTCAAATTAAATTGAAACTAAAGTAATCTCTCAAAGCCCAATTCAAGTTAAACGGCTTTAAAATCTCATGCGTAAATGTTGGTTCTATTCAAAGTCTTAACTTAAATTCAACCCCAAGATCTATACATACATATATATATATATATATTAAAAAAAATAAGTCGTGATAATCTCAAACAACCAAAATTTCTAAATTTCCAACCCCAATTTTCTCAAAGTTAAAAAAAGTAACATTTTCTCTCTTCTAATTGTCATTTTAAGCTTAAGTAAAGCAAAAGCCAGTTCAAATCTACTAATAAATTAGTGATTAATTTATAGTGTTACAATTAAATATATATATTTTTTATAAAAAAAATAAGATATTGTAATTGATGGTAGAATAAAACATTGTATAGGTTATAAGTTATATGCATAGAATTATGTCAAGCAATATATTATTTTATCTTTGTTTCCACATAATTTTGTTGTGACTTACAAGTTTTACAAGTGAAATTATATCTTGGCTCTCATAATTCAAAATTTATAATTAATAATTTAATTTACAAATTTTTTAAGCTCTCGTACAAACAAAAAAATTATTTAATTTTAATCAAAATTATTTCCTAGAGTCATAATGTTATTTTGATAAAATAATAAAAGAATCTAATTGTAAATAAAATAACTTCAAAGGCATTACAACATAATTCATTACATAAATATAATTTTATTGAACGGAAAGTTGAAGGCAAAATCGGCCGCCCACAACTTTCACTTCCAAGAAGCTACACCATTTACTTTTTAACCTAAAAACAAAGGAAACTACCAGATACACACACGTATATATTTACGAGTCAAATGAAGAGATGGGAAAAGGGGCCAGATTCTGTGTAATTCGTCAAACAAACTTATAATATAAGAATTGACGTAGACAAAAGAATAGCAGAAATTGCTCCAAATCTTCAGGACTACTGAAGCTTCCTCTGTAATAACCATGGAAAGAGAAAAGAAAGACGAGACCCTTTCTTCTTCCACTTTCTCTCTCTCCTCTCTGCACCGCCTAACAGAAACCCTTGATATATATATATATATATATATATATATATTACCATTGAATTCATAATTCATTCATGTAATTTTCAAACACAATCATTCGTTCATTTCCATTCTTTTCTTCCTAGAATTTCAGGTTGATCTAAATTATAGCACCCACGGAATATTTTCATTCAAGCTTCACTTTCTGATCAATATAAACGAATTATAGCCATGTCTCTAACCAATTTGCAGTGTTTCATTACTCTGGATAAGTCTTCATCAGACGCTAAACAATCCTTTTTCCTATTGTTCGAAATGGTTGATTTATTGTTGTTTCATAGATTTTTCAATTGGGTCAGGAGCATGCAAAGTTTTTTCTTCAGATTCTGGTATTTTCTCCTTTTCTCTGGCTCATCGGAGATTCGAGAAGGAAAGCAGAACCTCGATTTCAACTTCTCCAAGCAGGAAATTTCAGTGAAAGATGATGATGATGATGGGGATGGACTTCGCAGAGGAGATGTGGAGATGGTGATGAGAAATTTGGGACTTTTTTGCAGCCCAGAATCTGGCGAGGAGCTTGAAGAGAGGTTCGGCTCCAATGAGCTTTTAGGGTTGTTTGAGGAAAAGGAGCCGAGCTTGTGGGAGGTGAAGGAAGCTTTTGATGTGTTTGATGAGAACAGAGACGGGTTTATTGATGCAGAGGAGTTGCAGAGAGTTTTCTGTAATTTAGGGTTGATGAAGCATGGATCAGAATTGGAAAAATGCAAGAAGATGATCGGAAGCTATGATGAAAATGGCGATGGAAGGATAGATTTAAATGAGTTTGTGAAAATAATGGAGAACAGCTTCTGTTGAATTATACTTTCAATAAAACGTTCTTTTCCATCTCTCTTGTTTGCCAATTCAATATGCCATCAAATATTGTTTAGTAAATTATCACCATCATTTATACATACATACGTATATATATATATATATATATATATATATATGTTACAGCAGTATTGGCTGTAAATATGATTAAACACAACTTCTCCATAAACAGAATCGGGTTAACTTTTGGGTTATCCTAGAATGGGTGTATTATTTGATATTCTAAAGCTGAAGATGAATGTTTGCGAGGCATCGGAAATGATTTGAAGAGGGTGATTAAGTTAGTTAGATAGATTAAAAAATAAAAAATAAGAACAATTCAAGTGGATGTCACGTGATATATTATTAACTCAATAATAATAATAATTAAAAGACAGTATTTCTGTTTTAAACTAATTGTCACAAATTCTGGAAAAATAAAACACAAAAATTTGGATGGATGTTTGGTCAAATTTCAAAAAACAAATGAATCTTATATTACTATTAGATCTAGCCCAAAGTTCAGCCCATTTCTTAATTTCTTCTCAACTTTAAACTAAAAATCTCAAAATCAGCCTAAAACGACGTGGTTTTGGGGATTTTTCTTTCTTGAGTGCCTTCCTCTGCCTGTTTCAGAGACCACAAAAGATGGAATAAGAGAGGGAGACAAAAAAAGGGGCAGGTGATATGGTGTATATATATATTTATTTATCTTATGAACATTTTTACAAAATAAAATAATATTTGAAAATTCAAGTAACGTTTTTAAAACGATAGTAATTTAGTGTTACTTAAAATGTGTAAATCTTCTCACTTCGTTTTGGTTATCCAATGATATTTAATGAGTTTTTCCTCTAATTTGTAGGGGGGGGGGGGGGGGGTATTCATGTAAACTTTGTGTTTATTATTATTATTATTATTATTATTATTATTTAACAATATGATTGTAACAGCTCTGGAAATTTAAAACGAAATATGTGTATTAAAAATGTCAAAAGCGGAAGCAAAGTCAAAATTTCGATTAACATCCCTTACACTAAAACAAAAAACGTGCTCAAAATATAAAAGATCAAACTAACTAAAAGAGAAACTCGAAAGTAAAAGCTATGAATATGACTATGGAGTCTTTAGGCGTCCCCTTCGTCGTCTTCCTGCGGAACGGGCTCGGGAACGATGTCTTTCTGATCTGAAATGATTAAATAAGGAATGAGCTACACTAGCCCAGTAAAGAC